TCATTATGATAGTGAGCAATTTGGATCATAAACCTGAGTTTCTGCTAAGAGATGAGATGACTCAGGATGTAGGCTGATTATCGGAAACACCAACCACGTAACCAGAAGGCTGGGACATTGAGTGGCTCTGCTCTCCAGAGAGAGGAGGGAGACTGGATAAGGAATTCAGTCACATGGCTAATAATTCAATCAATCAGGCCCATGTAATGCAAACACAATAAACACTTTGGACACCAAAATTCAGAACAGCTTCCTGGTTGGTGAACACATTGATATGCCTAAAAGTTGATATGTCTTGATTCCTGGAGAGTCATAAAGCTTTGCATTTTGAATCTTCTCAGAGTCCATCCTGTGTGTCTCTAACTGGCCCTGATTTATATCCTTTACAATAAAACAATAATTGTAAGTATAGTGTTTTCCTGAATTCTGTGATTTGTTCTAGCAAATTATCGAAACTGAGTTGTTTGTAGGAACTTTGAAATATGCAGGCAAGCTGATCAGAAATGCAGGTGATGGGGGATCCCCTCAGTGAGGTTGGCATCTGTAGTAAAGGCAGTCATGTTGTCAATTTTGCCCTTAAACCTGTGGAGTCTGGAACTAATTCTGGGTAGTTATCATTGGAATTAAATTGTATTTCAGTATACCATTTGGTGTCATAAAACTACTTCATAGGATTCTATCATATTAAATAGGAAACAATACACAAAGTGCTTAGCAATAACAATAGTGACTACCTCATAAAGAACTCAAAGATAGAAATACATGAAGCAAAGTCATGGTATTTAAACTGTTGTAAAAATATACATTATGCTACTCAAGAGACTTTGTCTATTTCAACTTGCTAAGCAAGTCTCTTGTCTAAAAATGTCAATCTATATCTGTTCTTTTATTAATATACATTCGAGCTATTTCCAGTTTGGGAGTCTTATGATTATATTTGTAAGAAACTTTGTTGCAGAAATGCTTCTGTGGTTTAAGGGATGTTTTCATTTATCTTGGGAAAATTTCTAGAATTAAAAGTGGCTCACGGCCCTCCCTGGTGGCGCAGCGGGTTAAAGCACAGCACTGAGAATCTAAAGCCGCTTCCTCATGAGTTCGATTCCCGCCTGCCCCGGAGGTGACCACATGGTGTGGCAGACCTCTCCTGACCCGCCCGCTGCTCCCCTCAGCAGTGTACTTCGTGGATCTGCCTGTTCTGCTCCCCACTCTGTCTCTGGTGAATCCTCTCACCCTCCGCATCTCTGGCCTGTACCCCAGTTCTGTATGAATAAATAAATAAATATTAAAAAAAAAAGTGGCTCACAGGATAAATATACATTTGGTTTCATAAGAAACGTCAGATTTGAATCAAAGGTGTTTATACTGTTTCACACTTTCAACAATGTATGAGGGTCCTGATTGCTCCACAACCTTGTCAACACTTGATGTTTCCAGTCTTTTTCATTTTAACCATTCTTGTGAGTGTAACTAGCATTTCATTGTGGCTTTAATTTTTGTTTCTCTGATGATTAATGATGCTGAGCATAAGAAGATGGGGGATGGGAAACAGAAATAACAAAGAAGAAAAGCAAAAATTAAAATGTGAGGCTTAAGTCTTAGTATATCAATAGTTAACATTAAATCTAAATTGTCTAAATGGTCTAAATACACCAACAATAGATTGGTGGTGGGCAGGGAGGAAGCATGACTTAGCTATATGTTACCTATAAGAAACTCACTTCAAATGCAACAGTAAAAGGGTGGGAATATATATATAGTGCAAATTAAACAAAGGAGAGAAAACGAGGCTGAAATATTATAAGATCAAAGTAAACTTTAGAGAAAAGAAAATTATAAGCTACAGAGAACATCACATAATGATGAAAGAATCAATTTATGAAGCAGATACGGTACTCATAAATGAGTATGCACCAAACAACAGAGCTTAAGATACTAAAGCAAAAACAAAGAGCATACACAGAAACATAAATAGGCAATTACAGTTGGAGACTTCAGTGTTCTTCTCTGAACAACTGGTAAACAGAAAATCAATAGGGATAGAGAAGAACTCACCAACACAACCAATAACTAATTAACATTTATGGAACACTATACCCAATAACAGTAGAATGCCCATTCTTTTAAAGTAACCACAGAATATATACCAATATCTTCAAGAAAATGGAAGAAGACATAATCAGAAGAAAATAATGTGTAACTATGCCTGGTGACAGATGTTAACTTGATTATTGTGGTGATTTTTTTGCCATGGAAACAAATATCAAATCATGTTATATACCTGACACTAATATAATGTTACATGTAAATTTACCTCAATTTTTAAAAAGATACAAAGTAGATATGTTTGCTCATGTAACTGAAAAAATGGCTGAGTTCAAATGCTCAAAAAATGTAGTAGCCAAGATGGCTTCTTCAGGCAACAGTCAAGTTGCCCACCAAGAGCACCAGACTTATGCCTGATCTACACCTACTGTGAAATATGTTTCTCCAACCCAAATGCCCAAAAATAAATGAGTGGATCTAAAAGGTGTGCTATGTATACACAAAGGAATGCTATTTAGCAATCAAAAAAGACAAACTCATATGCCATTTGCAGCAACATGGATGGAGCTAGAAGGGATTATGCTCAGTGAAATAAGTCAGAAGGAAAAAGAAAAATATTGGATGGTTTCATGTGTAGGAGGAACATAGGGGAGCCAAATAAAGGATCAAGAAAAAAATAATAACAAAAAAACATAACAAAAACAAACAACTAGAAATCAGAGACATTCTATAGGGGGGGGAGGGAAAGGGATCAAGATGGGTGCAGAAGGAGCACAAGAGACTATGGTGATGGTGCACGGGTGAACTAGTGATGGGAATTCTATGGGAACTACACCTCAGAAAAGAAAGCAAACAGTGAAAAAAAAGACAATTAAAAAAATAAAATAAATTCTCCTACTCAAAAAAAGAAGTTTCTCCTTACCCATGATTGTACTAAGAATATCCGTTTATGTGTTGCTCATCAGTAAATACTCAGTAAGTACCCTAGCAACTGATAAATATAACTTTAATACTTTATTTTTTATTTTGATGTTTTTGTTACTTCTGTGATTATAATAAACATGTGGTAACTAAGAAATGTCTTGCTCTGTAATATTGCTATGTAAAGAGCTAAGAAGTTATTACTTTGCTATAACTAATACTTTTATCTCAGAAGTCATAAAGCAGTAAGATAACAAAATAACTGTATTAACTTCATAGTCTAATAAAGGACTTAATTGTAGTAGAAACAAAAGCAAGAAGTGAACACTCCTTGTTCCAATTGAAACATGATTAATGAGGTGGCCCAGATCTACTCTCAGGACCTAGCCAGTCATTCCGGCTTCTGGGAATTAGTTGCTCATGGCTCATTCCTCTCTGGAAATCACTCTCCACCCAAGGAAGCCACATCTGTGTTACAACACCTGTCTATAACTGGCCAACGCAAAGTTATAAATATCTGGCTCCTTTCTTTAATCTGGAATAATTGAAAAGTCATCACAGGCTCAAGGTGTAACAGAAACAACAGAAACTCCCAGGAAAAAGAGACGTTCCAGGTTCCCTACCCCACTCAAAGGAGGGTTGAGTTGAGCAGGGAGAAGAATCTGGAGAGGAAGGAAGCAGGCTGGAGACCTGAAGGAGGCAGACATGTGAAGAAGCTTTTTCTCTTGTTTCTTGGTCCTGAACTAATTGAAATAGATGTGGGTGAGAGACCTGTGGGGAGGTTAACTATGATATGGTAGCATTTATCCTGATTTTGATTTTGCTCTTTTTCTTGCAGACTTGTCTGGCCATTTCAGACTCTTCTCTGGGTCCCCACCAGAAGGTGCTTTAGACTTATGGTGGGTTTTTGAGCCTTGCTTTGGGCCAATCCCTTTTGGGTGGACTTTTACCCACGAGGGGATGGGTAACTTTGGATGTTTAATTTAGAAACTATATTGTCTTTTCTGCATTGCACGCTCATTGTATTTGTTGGGAACCAAAGGTTTACTGACAAGGAAAGAATTGAGCCTTGCATCCAAGCTTGATATGGGACTAGCTGAAGGGGATAACAAACTGGGCCTAGCATCCAGGTGGGAGGAACTGGGCCTAGCACCCAGGGACACAACGATGAGTCACCTTTGCAATGTGAACCTAGATCTATATAAAAGACCCTTCCCCCTTATTGAGCTGGCAGTAGCTGTGGACCCCACCCTAGGGGCTCTGTCGCAGCTGCTGTCCGGGAGCAATAAACTCTGCTTGCTCAGCCTTACTGCCTTCCGTTTTCTTTCTTGCAACCGGTCATAGAAGTTGGGACAAAACAGTATTAAAGTTCCCTTCCATTAACGCTCTTTTATATTTTGTCTTGATGCAGCGGATGGCAGGGCCTATTTACATTGGGCGGGTTTGGGGGTTCAGGGGTGCGCCTCTTCCTGTCCTGTAACAAAGGCATTCTTTGAGGACTGGCGGAAACCTTCGCTGAGATTTTTTCACAGTTCATTTTCTCCCTCTGTCTAATCTTGCTTCCATCTTTCTCCTACAGGTGCTGTAGCTTCTGCTGCTGTCTCTACATAACCTCATAAAACCACGCCTTCAGCACGTTAATCTACCTCTGTCTCTTCCTTAGGGATCTCCACACAGGAAACAAGTGTTTGTTTTTTCATAGCAATTATCAATAGGTGAAAGTCTTATTTAATTAATGGCTTAATACTTGCTGATTGTCCACTCAAGAATAGACGTCCCAAGACAGATTTTTTTTTTCTCACGCTGTGCTCAGCTGTCTCAAGCCACTAGGGCAGCGCTGCAGAACACTGGCAGACAGGAGTTTCAGTTGTTGAAATGAAGGAACAGAAAAGACACACCCAGAACTGGACCTCGGGGTCACAGTCGACCATGAGCCAGTAACAAATCGCTTTCGGAGCAGTGACTCCGGACGTGTCCCCAAATCCCCGCCCTTCCCGGCACGCCCCCGGGTCTAGAGAGGGCGGGGCCCGCGGACGGCCAGCGGGACGCAATGCGACAGCCCGTGGTCCGGCTGGTGCTACTGGGTCGGATGCGTTACACCGAGCTGCTGGCACTGCAGGAGAGCTGGTTGCGGCGGCTGCAGGCCGAGCCAAGCACCGAGGCCCTTTCTGGGACTGAGGCGGGCGCGCTCCTGGTCTGTGAGCCCGCGGGGCCCGTGTACACCGCCGGGCTGCGCGGCGGCCTGACGCCCGAGGAGGTGACGCGGCTGCAAGGCTTGGGCGCCGAGGTGCACACGACAGGCCGCGGCGGGCTGGCCACCTTCCACGGCCCGGGCCAACTGCTCTGCCATCCAGTGCTCGACCTGCGGCGCCTCGGCCTGCGCCTGCGCACCCATGTGGCCGCGCTGGAGGCGTGCGCGGTACGCCTGTGCGAGCTTCAGGGCCTGCCCGGCGCCCGCGCGCGGCCGCCACCCTACACTGGGGTCTGGCTGGGCGGGCGCAAGATCTGCGCGATCGGTGAGCGCCGCGGAGAGGGCCGGGGGCGGGGCCGGGCCGGAGGGGCGGGGCCGGGCCAATGGACTTGTATCCCGCGAGGTCTTTGAATCAGAACTACCTGCTAATGTTAAGAGCTTTTAAGCCTCTTCACCGTATGTTATTCAGAGCAAAGACTCTCAAAGGTCATCTCCTACAATTATCTAGAAAGACTCAAGAAGCGAATTGCCTAGTTACTTCTCCACTGCAGTTACTGTGGAACCACACGTTCCTCCCCTTAACTTGTCCTCCTTAGTCTGCGCAGAACTCCTCCGGTGCTCCAGAAACAAAGTAGGATTTAGTTCAATTCCCTTACCAAACTGAGGAGACTCATGAAACCTGGGGAGGAAGGGTAACTAATCTAAGACCCTTTGGCTTGCCTTACAGGAGTCCGCTGTGGAAGGCACATTACATCTCATGGCCTGGCTCTGAACTGTTCGACGGACCTCACGTGGTTTGAGCACATTGTGCCATGCGGGCTGGTTGGGACTGGCGTTACTTCCCTGAGTAAAGAACTCCTGAGGCAGACCACTGTGGATGAAGTATTGCCGTCTTTCTTTGAGGCCTTTAAAGAGACTTACAAGTGCACGTTGTTCTCAGAGGACAGCCCCAACTGAAAGGCATTCATATTGTCATAGCTGGAAGTTCATGGCTTGGAAGCACCATGCCTAACTCGGAGTCACTAAAACCCAGATTCTAGACCTGACCTCGTTATGCACTCGCCGCCGGCATATTGTGAACTCTGTATCATTAAGACATGCTTCTTGCTTTATTTATATCTTTTAGATATAGACCTAAAAGCTGTGCATGTTATATAAATTGAAGGCCTCAGTGCCGCTACTGACACTATTTTCACAATTAATAGAAATCCAGATGTAATTTCTCATTTATTTATTACTTCCTTAATATACTGTATTTAATTGGGCAATTGTGGGCTCCAGTTCTTTGATTTTATAGGAATCTAGCAGTCCAGGTGAAGGTGATGTGATTGTGGTACTTTTTCATTCTCAAGAGACCTGGGTGCTTTCTACAATAAAGGGAAAGATCTCTTAAACAATAAAATGGGATCCTGTCTTCCTTGGCTGGACTCCCCAAGATTAATGGCTGTTTTTAGTTAGGTAACCTGAGATATGCCTAAGATTGGGGGAAAGGGAATAATCATTTCTCAAACTGTACAAATGCAAGAGATAGAAGTAAGCTTTCTTATATGAAATCTCTTAAGTTTACAAGGCCATGTACTAGTTACCTATTGTATCACTCTAAAACTGAATGACTTTAACCAAGCATTTATCATCTATATTCTGTAGGTCAGGAATTTGAAAGACACTTAGCGGGGTGATTCTACGTCAAGGTCTCTCATGAGTTATAGTGAAGATGTCCAGTGTGTGTCTATGTGTCTATGTGTCTATATGACCTTATCACACATGGTGAGTACAGAGATTGCATTTCTCAAAGTGATTTTATGAGTCAAAGGATTTGTGCATTTTTATTTTAGTAGAAATTATCATATTGCCTGTTGTAAAAGTCACATCAATCTATAGTCTTATCAGCAAGATATAAGGGAGGTGCTTGAATTTTAAATTTTCCAGCATCTTAACTTTTTTGCATTTTAAAAGTTTTATAAGGCCCCTCCCTGGTGGCACAAGGGGTTAGAGCACAGCTTTATAAAGCTATTTATAGCCACTGCAGCACAAGTTCTATTCCTGGCCAGGGAGCTGACCACATGGAGCAGCAGACCTCTCCTGTCTTCCCTGATGCTCTGCTCAGCACTGTATTTCAGTACATCTGCCTGTCTGCTCCCCCCTCTGTCTCTAGTGAATCCTCTCACTTACCTATCCTGTCTCTTCCCTCAACTATTGTAAAGCAAATCACAGATGCATATCACTTCATACATAAATATTTTAATATGTATTCCCAAAAGATAAGGACTCTGAAAAACATAACCATGACATAAAAAAAAAAATCCTTCAATATCTGAACAAATATTCAAATTCTCCAATTCTTTTTTTTTCCCAGCTTGTTTTTTCAAATTATAATTCAAACATTGTATTTGGTTCCTAAGATCATATACATGTCATTTAAGTTACCTATCACACACAGGTTCCACCCTCCATTTTTAATTTTTAATGTATTATTTATGCATAAAAGAGCTAGGTGTAGGCCAGGTGTGAGAGCAGGGTGAGAGGATTCACCAGAGACAGAACTGGTAGCAGAACAGACAGACAGACTGAAATATACAGCTGAAGGGAGCAGTTGGCTACACAGGAGAGGTCTGCTGTGCCATGTGGGTCAGCTCCCTGGCAGGGGTTTAAACTTGTACTGCAGTGACTGTGGACTACTTCATAGTGTGGAGACTTAATACCCTGTGCCAACAGGAAGATTCCTCCCTCCATTTTTAAAAAAAATATATATTTATTTATTTAGACATATATAACTGGGTACAGGCCAGAGGTGCAGGGGTGGTGAGAGGATTCACCAGAGACTGAGTGGGGAACAGAACAGGGCAGAGTGAACTGAGGGTACAGTGGGCAAGTCAGGAGACTAAGTCAACACTGAGATAAAGCTCCAAAAATTATTTCCTTTAAAAGGAATCCATATATTTTTTCAAGAGCAGGAGACATTAGTGTAAGGCATCAGTGTTACATTTTTAAAAATTTACCTATACCATGAGCTTTATTAAGTCAGATAATCTTTGTCTTTGTATTGCAATTCCAGCATGTAGAAGGAAGCAGTGGTTTAATGATTGTTATTATGAGGAATCGCTCGCAGTGTTCACTTTGGTTCTTTTGTGGACAGACAACATCTAATCTCTGAACTGATCATCCTGACCCTGCACACACACCCCTCCAGTTATTGAGTGCTTCCTGTCCCCTTTCATGCTTGCATGATTCTGATCATTAGAAAATTATTCCTCATCCTAAACTGAAATCTGCCCCCAACACTGTCATAATTCTGATGTCCTCTGAGAGGCCTTCCCTGGCCAGCATATGCCCCTCAGGGGACACTGGCCTACCCATACTATGCTACTTTTTTCCATGTCTGACACCATCCAGAGCTCTCAGGCAGGGACGGTGACTGTGGTCCCTTCACACCCACCCAAGGGCCTCTCACAGATCAAGGACCCAGAGATGAACTGTTGAATCAACGAATGATTCTGTCCTAGGAGTGGTCTCTTCTTTAAGCAAAACTTTCTTGTTTCTTTGGTTCTTTACAGAACACAGCTTGTAGATTCCACACCACTGCACTCATCTCAATGGGTTCTGACTAGCAAATGTGCCCTTAATCTGTGTTATTCACAATTGAAAATAGCATTTCTGGTGTGATCTGACAGTGGGAGGTGTATACAGCCTATGCTGGGTTCTGGGGACAGAGAGATGAGTCAAAACCAACCTGTCTTCAAGGAACTCTGTGGAGGAGACAATTCCACCCTGAGAAGGTATCCACAAGTATCAAAAGATATTTATAGTTGCTAATGGCTCTGGGCATTTGGGTAACATCTACTTCCCAGTCCTCAAAATGGTATGTACCCTGATAGTAAACCCCAGTAGCTTTAGGATGTGAGTCAGTCTTGAGATTATTCTTAGTGTGTAAATTCAACCTTGGGTGATCCCGCTGAGCCACTTTGTGCAAATAACAGCCCTATAAATATGGGTATATTGACTGTAGCTAAGCATCTTTCCTGTAGTGAGATCTGTCATGTACATATTTCAACACTGGGTAGATTAGGGCCTCTGGATATCAACCATGTGAGTTCATTCCTCAAGTGGAACTGGAGTTGAAGTTAGTAAATCCCATTCGTGGGTCCTTTACTCATTCTGGTCACTATGTCTGGGAAGAAAATTAGGTAAGTCCATGTGAAGTATAAGTGTCCCCTGAAGAGCATAATAAGCAGCAACCTAAGCTGACAAGCTGCTACTCTATTGCCTTTACAATTTCAGTTCTATCTCTTCGGTGACTAGGGCAATGAATATTGTTACAGCTGATGGCAAATCTACAGCTCTCAGAAAAGCCAAGAACTCTAACGGCTACTTTGTCGCTGGTTGTAAGGAGGCCCTCTTCCTTCTACTTGGCACCATGTGTGTGTGAAATCATGAAAGAATAGTACAAGTCAGTGTATACATGACTATGACCCTGAGAGAATTCAGGGCTAAGGTTAGGGCTACCACTTCAGCCTTCTGTGCTGACATTCCTGCCAGGAGGGCTTTGTTTCCTGTGGTGTCCTGAAACATCACCACTGCATATCCTCTGCACCAGCAGCCCTGTTCCATCAAACTGCTCCCATCTGTAAACAACTCAGTCTGAATCAGGCTGGGGGTTGTCAGGCAAATCTGGTCAGCTAGCATACCATTTCAATAGTTCTAGACAGTTATGGATTATATGTCATCCTCAAGGCTCACTGCATTGATCGTGAGCAAAAGCTAATAACTTGCAACTACACGTTAGCGTTAGCTAGTAGAGCTGCCTGATATTTTCCCATTCACACAAATTCTACCCTTCTGGTTTTGCAAGGTCAAAACCTGGTCACGATGTATTTTTCACATCAGGCTCTTTTTTTTCCCTTTGTATTATATATATATATATATATATATATATATATTACATCATTCTTCATTTGCACATTTTTTCATTTCATTTGTAATCCCCATGGACTTCCCACCACCTATATCCATCCATGTGTCACACCAGGTTTTGACACTGCAAAAACAGAAGGGTAGACTTTGGCTGACTGCTGTGTGACCTAACATCAGTACCTTCGCTTCATGCAGTGATGTCTAACACTCCAAGGCTGACTCTGTCTCTAATGCAAAAAAATTCAGAAAGGCTTTCTGGGATGTGATAAACTGTAAACTGGTGCTGAGTTCAACTTTCCCTTTATTTTATTGAAGGTTTATTGAGATCCAGAAGTCCAAAACAAAGGTTTAGATTCTTTGAGGGCTTCATATAAGAGTTATGATGTAAGGTCAAATTTGGGAATGAAATTCTGCAAAAATCATTCATTTCCCCAAATCCATGTTTGCCTTTGATTGCTAAGCAAGTGAAGAGCTGAAATCATATGTCATAAGGTTTTATTTGCCTTTCTTAATCTCACATCCCAAGCATGCCACCTTTTATTTGCATATTTGGACTTTCTGGACTCATCTTTATAATATCTTCCTTCTTAATTTCCACCTTATATTCAGAATGCCATGCCTTACCATGCCATGTTAATTATCTGAGCAGTTTCTGGAGCATCTGGACGTGCATCTGTGTAAGTACTTTAAGTTTGGATAATCCTCTCAAGAGATTCAGATGCATCCTCTTTGTTAAAGTTCTTGTGTCGTATAAACTCTTAGGAATTCTCTGCCTTCACCTATTAATAAGCATCTTGTAAAGTGTTTTAGGCTTTCCATTCCCCCATCATTGGGGTTCGAGCTAGGGTCTACCATTGGAACAGCTTCTTCTGGTTGTGGGGTTTCTGGATCCTCTTGGTGGAGACTATGAGCCTCTTCACTAGCCTTTCCCAAAGCCATTCTCTGTTCAGTTGACATTAATAGTATTTTTAACATGGATTGTTTGTCTGCCCTGGTAGGGAGGCATACAATCGGGAGAATACCTACCTTTTATGGTTGTGTGGATTACAGTAAGTGTTCCACCTATATGTAAAGTGTTACATGTAAATTAATGAGAGATGTGTGTTCATGGTTGTGAACATGTGAATTTTTAAATCTTGTGGTTTATTTAAATAATAAGGGCTATGGGAATGGAGAAGAAAGGTGAAGTCAGTGAGGACTAAGGTTTGCAGAGGAGGAGGGCATGTCAGTCAGGAATCTTAGTTGCAACAGACAGAAAACACAACTTAAACTAAAGTAGAAAGGGAATTTATTAACTACAGTCGTAACTGGATCTAGGAGCTCAGATTCTGTCCTTAGGAAACTGTTCCTCTGTATCTTTGGGCTCTGCTTTTCTCATTGTCACTCCATTCTCAGACAGGACCCACTCTGTGGTAACATAATGACTGCCTGCATTTCCATGCATTCACCAGCGAAAGGGGTGTCTCACCCCCACAACCCTTCTGCTAGAACTCCTGGGTTGGACTCCCATTGCCCTGAAACAGGCCTAATATTCACCCACGCACCAGATACAGAAGCCAGGGGACGAGGCTGGCAGCAGCATCAAGCCACATAAAGCTGGTAGAGGATAGGAAACATTAGGATACCACAACATCTGCCTGTTCTGCTCTCCACTCTGTCTCTGGTGAATCCTCTCACAACCCCTGCATCTCTGGCCTATACCCCAGTTCTGTATGCATAAATAAATAAATAAATCTTTAAAAAAAAAAAAAAAAGAAAGGGGTAGGAGAACATTCTGTAGTTCTCAAATCCCCATATGCTCATTTATTACCCCCACTATCACCTTTGCATATGACTGTTATTTCTAGAACATTTTAAGTTATAATGTTGAACAAATTTCTTTGTCAACTATGTTATCAAATTTTTTATTTTGGTTATTTTGAGTTTAAACACTTGCAGAAATTGCTTCTGGAGAAATTAACAGGAGAAAGACCTCAATAATATTTTAAGACCCATGCTAACTCATGGAACTCAAGATAGAGTGTTTTCTACAAAGCACTGAATTAATATGTTTTCATTTGGAATTGGGCTTTTTGTTGTTGTTGTTGTTATTTTCTTTGGTTGGTTGGCTGGTTGATTAGTTTTTTTTTTTTTAATTTTTGAAAATTGTGATCTACAGCAATGTTAAATTGCATTTGCAAGCATATCTAAGTTCTGTTTGCATTTTCTCTCCTCAACACCATCATAATATGGGAAAATGTCAGTAAGCATTCCTCTTACTTGTGACATTGTGTGTTATCTTTGCATAATTTTAATAAAGACTTTTACTTGCTCCCCTTTAACTGGAGAATTTTAAATATGGTTACATTAATCAAGCTTAAACTGGAATGTCCCAGTTGAGAACTTCTAGGAGTTAAAACTAAGCATAGCCAAGAAAAAAGAGCCTGCTGCCTTACCTATAGGGTTCCAATGACCTGTGGGGAGAGTAAGGAAGCTTATCTCCCTCCATTGAGGCCTGGAGACTCAAGAGGAAACCTTGGGAATCTCAAGCAGAGGAAATCTACCCAAAGGTACAAATGTTGCAGGTGGAGCCTGGTGACACCAGGCTGTGGCATGACTCTCGAGGTCTGGACAGGCCATATGATGAGAGCTTAACCTAAGCTTGCTTACAGAAAGTTCCAGCAAACCCAACATAAATTCTACTTAATCATTCTGTCTTGTGAATTGATGCAAAAATAAATCATATTGAAATAAGATTTCCTTTACAAAGGCATTTTGCTGTACTAGTTTATAAAATTGGGATGAACATGAGAGAAAATCATTTAAAGAGCAGCCTCTCAGCCATTTTCTTTTCTTTTCCTGGTTTGAATTTATTGACTATTTTCTAAAAATGGAGGACAATGGTTATTATGGAAAATCTCATGACTGGTAGTTATTTCCTTTGAAAACACTGCATTCCCAGAAAAAAATTGTCTTCTAAGGCCACATCTCAGCAGTCAGACAGCTGATGTGCATCACCATAGAAACGGTGACAGGAATTAAAAGTGGATAAATTTTAAGAGGAACAGTGAGGGGCCACCTCTGAATCCATGGATAGTAATCATAGCCAATTGATGGTAGAATGGAAGGTGGAGCTTTTCAAATCCTACCCCCTCAGTTGGGAGGTTGATGGGAAGTAGGGGAGGAGCCAAGATTTTTGGCAGTTAAACTGCTGAATTTTGGGGCAGTTAAGCTTCTGGGGCTTTGGGGCAGTTAAACCTCTGGGATTCTAGCAAGTAATCTGCCAATGAGGAGTGGTGTTTGTGAAGAAGCTTCCAGTTTGCCCATAGCTTTAGTTTAGACCTCGGTCTCTGCTCAACGGACACTATCTGGGGAAGGATAGACAGTATCTGGCCATAAGCCAGGCCCACCACCACAAACCCTTTTTTTCACTTCCTGTGTAAACAAATCCCAGTATTGTTGTTTTTACACTGTGTCTGCTTTTGGGTAGTGTCTTGCAGTCATAAGTATGTGGTGAGGACCCACCAACTGGGCCATTTCCCCCAGGATTTGCTCCATTTCATTCCCTGGCCCCTTCTGTCAACTGACTCCACCCCCCTGCCCTCTCTGTCTCAAGGTCAGGTCTTCATCTTCAACTTCTTTGGATTGGAGTTCCTTGATGGCCCTTTTCAGACTATGGTCTCCCCAGGACAGGAATTCTGTTTTTGCCTGACATTCTCCTCTAATAACAGAAGTTGCTATTAAGACCTCACAATGTAGTGATGTGGTAGGAAAATAGTTACTTTCACCATCATAAAGTTCGGTAGAGTAAATGCAAGGCTAGAAGGAACCCTAACTGAGTCAGGGCTGTTTCCTTAAAGCTGGTTTCAAGAACCACTTACAGCAGAATTGTTTGGGAAGCTCTTTTTAAATGCTGTTTTCTGGGCTTCACTCCAGGTCCCCTAAATCAGAACCTCTGGAGTGGAACCCAAAAGTCTACTTTACAAAAACAATATCTGAGGCAATTCCTAGGAAGACTGAAATTTGAAACTTCATGTCCAGGGTCAGGATGACTTCCCTGAGAGGTGATCTCCAGACTGAAAAAATGGAGTAGGTTGAATCAAAACAAGTAGTTACAGAAACAATGCGGAAATAGCATGTTTTGATGAAGATTAACAATTATATATCACATTCCTTCCACGCAGTTGGTCTTTTTCTTTATTTAACAAGACAGCACTTCTTAGATACAATCAGAAATTCCATGATTGCCTCAGATGCTCAGGAACAGATCTTTGTTTGCAGTTTGACATTAATTATTCCAAGGTCATAGGCTGGTAGAGATGGCTTTGATAAGGGCTCCCCACAGAGCCAGGGAGGCTGTTCCCACACTGCCTACTCCTCTTCTCATAGCCTCCTGACCCTCATTTCCCAGAAGTGCCTGGGTGCTTCTTTCCTTTGCAGCCTGTAATGTCAATAGCAGTGAAGTAACAGTTCAGACCTGGTGGCCAGAAAGGGAAAGGTGTTTGGAACAAGGACCAGTGGGGTGTGGCTGCTTGTCTGGATATCCCAGGGTCTGTTGAGACTTGGAGAGAGGAGACATGGACTCAGATCAAGGTGACAGAGAGGTATGCATCCTAAGTCTGAGCTCTGCACTCAATTCCCTGGCTAACATAGGCAAGTCCCTTCCCTTAACTGGACCTCTGTATCCTGTCTGGAAAAGACTGGGTTTGTGTTCTTATGAGATGATTTCTCTGGTGACCATCAGCTTTGAAATTCTAGTCTCACGTGGCCCTAACCATGATCCTGTGAGAACGCATGAAAGAAATGTTCCCATATTACAACGCAGAAGCCAAGCCCCAATGTCCTGCACACCACAACTTGCACACTGCTATTAAGAGTGGAGCCTTCTGGAGATCAGCCTTAAGTTGAGCAAGCTGAAGCAAAGCAAGAGGAATTCGGCTCCAGGTTCAGGAAGCAGTTGTTCCAGGGGATGGAAGGGTCAGAGCCCACAGCCCTTGAGGCCAAACAGCTGGGGGGAGGCGCCTAAAGCCAGCCCCTGGAGAAGTGGGTGTGCTGGGGGCCGGGCGGGGCCAGGGGAGGGGACACCCTGGGAAGGGAAAAAGCAGAACCGCGTGGGAGAGCTAGCTATTCAGTGGGAGAGCTGTTCCGACGGGGCGCTGGAAGGCGCTCAGTACAGTTGCGGGTAGGCACAGCTCCGTGGGGTGAAGTGCAAGGTCATCCCATCCGCGAACGTGGAGCTTAGTGCCGGACGTTCAGACTGGCGCCCTTCGGAGCTTGCCCAGAGCAGGTAAGGCGCACTTGTAAGATCGGGAAGGCTGAGTTGGCGCCAGAGTAGAAATGAGGGGTCTTCTCGACTTCCCTGGTGATGGCCGATCAGAGGTGGAGGACCGTCCAAATGCTGAACTGACCCTCCCCGGCCGCGGGATTCCGCGGGATTCCCCGACCACAGGCGGGAGTCCGGAGCGGGGCTCCTGACACATCCCATCTAGAATGGTAGGGGCTTGTGAGGCGCTCACGCACCGCTGCCGGTGGCCAGAAAGTTCCTTCCGCATTCACAGAAATGCAGGTGAACACCTGCGGGTTCACAGGGAAGCGCACGCGCGGAAATGGTACGCTGCAACCAGACCGGCTGTGCTGAGCTGACTACGTTTGCTTCTCCATTGTACCCCTCGCCCTATTCACCCCATTTTGGGTGAAAAGCTGGGAATTCGCAAAGGCATCTTCCACTACTGGTAACATAGGTCTAGACTGGGAGTCAGGAGATGAGCTTTAGTTCCCTAGTCACCCACCTGCTCTATGCCCGATGCTTTCTTTTCCTGGGTCACCATCTACTCAATGGACCTCATTGCCCTATATAGCTCCTGTACTCTGTGTGACCTGGGGTGAAAAGACAACTGGTCCTGGGTCTCTCCCATACATAAAGTAGATGAGTTCAGAGCCAAGAGTGAGCACCCATGAGTGGAAGTCTCTGCGTGCCCTTTCCCTGTGCCTCATATGGGGAAACCCAGGTGGGGTGGAGATGGCATTCCCAGGGTCACATCCCAGAACAAAAAGCCCAGGGATCTCTCCACTTCACCTACGAAAGTGCATTGTAAAGGCTTAAGCTTCACAAAGTGTCAGGAGCCTCCCAGTCACTTTGTCAGCTCCAAATGCTGAAGCATGGGAATGCTTTTAGATTTTCTTAACTACTTGAGCTGATCAAAAACTTTCCTCATCCCTCACTCACTCTATACTTCTCACAACACATTTCTATCCATAAACTGAATATATGCATGCTCAAAATACCCACTTAGAAGCAAAACAAGAAATCCTACCTTACTGATGAGGACTTAACCAAAATACCTGGGAGACCCGTGAGCAAAATGAGAGCAGGTCTCCATCAATTGTAGACTACAGAATGGTGCCCGAGGTGGAAAAAGATTGTGATCAGAGAGGATGGGCAACAGGGAAAGCTCCTGAAGGAGGTGTTACTGAGAATCAAGAAGAGTAAAAACCTCCTGCTTCTTCTGAGGTAGAAGAGCCAATGAGGGAGGGGGAAGAAGGATGGGTTCTTGGTAATATTGGGGTTTGGGGTGGTGTGGATAGAACAGTAAATTGTGGGATGAGGCTGCCTAACAATTATCTTTTATGTCTATAGGACACTTTGCAACTTCAAAGCATTGTCCCCTCTATCACCTCCCTCTGTTCCCATGTGAAGTAAGCAGGGCAGGGGCAGCTATCTCCATCTCCTAGACGAGTTTCAGAGGAAACAGAGGCAGGGCTCATGATCACACGATGATCACACGAGCAAGCATGCAGCCAAGATTGGTTAACTATGAAAGGCACACTTGAAAGGCAAGATCACAGGCTGAGTGAGTGGAAGTTGGACTGTGAGTGCAGTGGGCGGGTGTGTATGGTCACACCCTGGGTAGTTACGCAGGGAAAAGGGGGTGCAATGCCACTGCTGGTGTTTTGGAGCCAACAATGTTTGTCCTTTGGATTGAACAGAGGTTCAGGTACAGGAAATACCTGGTCTTCCAAAGTTGGCTTAAAATTCCTCCTTCTCTGACTCACTTCCCACATGACTGAGACTGCTTTTCTTTCAGAGTCCCCTTCTCTTTTGGCCTGCCCCAGAAGTTACTTTTTAAATGCTATAAGCTGTTTTCATGAATGTAAACCTGTGTGCTGGAGAAAGGAGAGTGTAATAAATTGAGGCATCGATTCATTTATTCTTGAGTGTTTGCTATGTGCTCAGGCTCAAGAATTTATATAACATATTTATGGCATGGGTCCCATGGGTTTAGCATGTTTATAAGTGTCAATAGGTATAGATATGTACACAAACTCACCTAATATATATTGACAGACAGACAGATATGATAAATAGAAACACAAACCCTGTTTTGACAGGGTTTTATGCAAAGCACTTTGGAAACAGACAAGAGGGAAAAATTAAATGGTTAGGGAGTGGAAAAAGGGATGTCTCAGGAGAGAGTGTAAAGAGCTGGGTCTTAAAGAATGAGTAGGTAAAAAGGTAACAAGAGGAAAGGCACTTCTGCCTAAGAAAAATGCATGAGCAAAGGCAAGAAGTATGCAAGTGCAAGGGATGTCTGGAGAATGGCCCGTAGCTCAGTGTCAGGGGGCACAAGGCACTAGGGAGAGCCGTGATGACATGGACCAGAGGTAAGGTCACATCCAAAAGAACTTATAGTGCAAAGATCTGATTTGTGGTCCCAGCTCTGCCCCTTCTAAGCAATGAGACTTGCCTTTCGCAAGTGATTTCCTCTCTGGGTAGGGTCAATAGCCAATTGACCCTATTTTTCAGTTGGCTCAATGAGGGGCTTGCAACAATGCTATGATTATTATGATCCCCTGTGGCTCAGGTTCTATTTCTGTGTCTCCCTCCAACCAGCTGCTAAGGTCCACTCTTTTAGTTGTTCTCCCAACCCACAGTGGTGGAAAGACCACCAGAGGCACCAGTGACACTGCAGTTCCAAGAACTGTCTTTGGATTCCCAACCCACTTAGGCGACTTCTCCCTCCCCTCTCCCATTGTACTGTTTCCAGGAACTGAAGACACTCATTGGACAGAGTGGCTGAAACAGAGCCATTAGGAAACCAAAAGAACCCATCGAGAAGCTTTTCCTCTCCCTGGAGAAACCTAAAAGAAAATCTCACTGATTCCCCAGTTCATCTTCAGCTCACAGGGAGAACTGTTAATGTGAGAGCAATAGTAGCAGCAGTGTGTAAAGGAAGCGTATGCTTGGCCTGTTTGGGAGATCAGGAGCAGAAAAGACCATGGGGGACAAGATTATGGAGGGAGGTTAACTCCCCCCATAAAATTTACCAATTTCTCCCCTCACTGGACCTTAGATTAAGCTTGGTAAGGGTCTGTAGTTCAGGAAAAAGCACTAGAAAAGGAGGTAGAGATGATGCCCCATGACACGAGGAGGCTGTGTTTGAGGTGTTATGCAATTCAGGTGCCAAGGACTGTTGCCATGGCTATAGAAAGAGCAGCCAAATTGTTCTTGTCTAATTGTTCTTGGGGTCTTATCCAAGCTTTGCCATTCACCAGCCTTGTCATTTTGAACTAGTTACCCTCTCTGAGCTTCAGTTTCCCCATCTACAAAATGGAGAGTCTGGCCTAGAATCTTGATTCTAAATTATATTTAAAGTCCCTTTAAGCTTGATCAGTCACTGTTCACTTCTCTTCCTAATAATCTATCTCCAGTTTCAAATCAAGGATTTTCCAAGAGTGCTGTCTCTACCCCACCACCCCCATCCAAATTTCTTCCTACCCAGTGACTTTCCTGGAAAGGGAGGCTAGGGAACTCAGAACAATGTTTCCAACTGCTAGTCCCTGGCTTAGAAACCGAGGCAAATCATAAAGAGCCAACCTGTCCTTTTGTCAGCTCTCTGTCTCTCCTGACCCAAACAGGATATGCTGGTACTCAGGCCCACACTCCCACCCAAACCCAGCACCTGAAAATATGTAACTATAGCGTCTTTGCTCCCCCTTTTAGAACCACAATTATTTGGGTCTATCCAGTGAGGCCCTAGAAGAAGGGCCTGAGGGATGAACAGTTTCATGAACCTTCACTTCCCTTGATAACTGGACTCAGAGCCCACCGTGTCCCACCGCTCCCCATCACCTTACCCCCACCTGCTGCACAGTCCATCTTTGCTCCAGACTCATCACCCTGGCAGGAAAACTGTTAAAATGAAAAATGAACAAGTCGACCAATTTGGCTCTTGATTTTTCTAAGATGGAATACTGGCTTTAACTCAGTCCCAGGGCTCAGAAGCATCTTAACTTGTGAGTCTTATCTATTTTGCAGTCTTCTCTATTCTGTGATTTGGGGGCTTCAGAAAGTCCTCCAGATGCCCACTGGCCTAGCCCATCTCCTATAGTCTCACAGTGTGATTTGTTTTTGTGATTCATACCCTCATGGACTTTTAAAGCAGATCAGAATCTTACACAACTACATAATAAACCCCTTCATTTTATAGATGCTGCAAGAAGCTGGAGCTCAGAAAAGGGAAATCACATGCCCAAAGTCACACATGTAGCAGCTGAACCACGATATCATCTTGGGCTTCTATTTCCTTCTTTATAAAATGAGGGAGATGAGGCTTAAAGGACTCCCTGCCAGCCTCTGCTCTACAAAAACAACAGCACCACCTGTCTGTGAATGTCTAGTGCCACCAGTAAACTGTTCTTACATAAAAAAATATACCCAACTGCTAACTGCCCCTCTGCTACTCACATCATTCCCCTGGGTCTTAGGGCCTTTCAGCCTTTTAGGGGCCCTGGTGAAACACCAGCATCCGTGGGAAAGGAATGTTTTCTGCTGCACTGTTTGCTGGCTCCTGAGCAGAAGCTTATGTGTTAAACTAAGTTTTCTCATGAAGTTGTCCCATTGTGATGTCATGGGCCTGGGGCTAGGGTACAGCAGTGGATGTCCCTTGGCCACTGCACAATTCCTGTGACTGCCAGCCCAGGCTGGCCTGACACAGCTGCTGCAGGAAGAGGAGGGAAAGTGGGAAGGGGGTCAGTGCCCCCAGAAGTCATTAGCCCCTGGGACCTGGTCTTAGGATCCACCCTGGTTTTGAAACTTTTGTGTGTCTGGTTCCTTCCTTTTCTGCCCCCTCCCCTGCTTTACATCTCTGGGGATCTTACCAGTTCCTGAAGTCAATGCTAAGAACCCAGAATTGTCCAGAGACATCCTGCAGAGGCAGAGGGATTGAGGAGCCTTAGACACCCACAGGCATAGTCTCAAAGCCAACTCAGAAACAGGGAGTTTGCCAATTTGGTGAGTTTTCTAGACAGAAGTTGCCCTGCCTCTACCTGGTTAGTTACAGCCCCTTCACAGATACCTAGAAAACCTGGTCACAGTGGCTGTCCTGGGGAAGAGCCCACTATACATAAGTATGCACTGCTTCCTTTTTCTTTTAACATGTGTATACATGTTTATTTCTCAAAATGAAAACTACATTTTTATTTTAACGAAAAATATATGTTCCATTAAAAATTAAAAAATTTCTTTAAAGATTCCCTTTACTAAAATACAAATGTGTGCTTATACAAGTTTGCAAGGAGGTTAAAACAAAAACATAACAAAAATTAAAAATATACAACATGAAATTTACCCTCATAACCATTTTAAAATATACAGCTCTTGGGTGTACATTCACATGTGTGATCTGTGCCCCCAGATCTCTTCAATTTTTTATCTTGCAAACTGAAACGCTGTCCACTGAGCAACAAATCCTGGTAATCCTCTTTTTGCATAGATGAGGAAACTGAAGCCCAGACATCACAAAAGGCCTAATTTCCCCAAAGCTGGCTCCCCCAGACACTAAAGCAATTTGTCTATCAGCTGCCTATAAAGCTAACTGAGGTGCCCTCACCCCTCACATTAGCCACTCCCTCACACTAACACATCTCACATTTACCCCCCTTCCTACCTTGTCATCCCCTTGGCCCCAACTCAGGGTGCAGCATCTTTCAAGGTCCTTTTCACTGCCCCGTCCCCTCTAATTCATATCCCTTTCAGAGTAAATAGTAGCCGAGTGTCCTTTGTCAGCACAGATCTATCTGATCATTGTGTCCCCTTCTTAAACACTGTTCCACTGTCTAAGACCTCAGTTTCAGGAGATAAGTTCCCACTCTGCAGCCTGGCCCTCAAGTGATCTGGCTTGTATCACTCTTTCATCCCATATGCTATCTTATCTTTCTATGTGTCTAACACGAAGCCAAACTCTTTGTTCTATTTTCCATTCTTCTAAATATTAATGTGCTTCTTCCTGTGTCTTTGTTCATCTTCCCTTGTTTCCTGTCCTGGTCTTCTTTGCTTCCTAAAGATCCTCAGGACCCAGTTCCATGCCTCCATCACTATGGACTCTGACCTTGACCAGAATTCACCGCTTCTGCCTTTCAGCCCCAGTAGCCCCTGGCCTGTCCCTGCATTACAAGAAATGGCCATGTGCTCCTGTGTGTGAGGACTGAGCCTGAGTCTATCCAAGCTAGAGAGCCTAAATGATGACTGACTGAGTGAATGGTTGAGTCATTAATTTCATTGTACTGCTTCTGCTTTTCCAATGCCAGATACAAGGGAAGAAGAAGGTACAGGCTTTTTGCCTGACAAATGGGGCAGTAGATGAGAATCTGTGCTTCCTGGTTCTTAATTCAGGGAACACTTGTGCTTTTCCTTTCCTCCATCCACACAAGGTAGCCCACATATTAGATGGCAGGGAGCCCCAAAGCTCTTGCATGAAATGCGGACCAGTCCCAACAGAAACAGTGATTTCTGTTTTTAGATCTTCCCCCCTCCTACTTTGCTTGATAGAGGTATTCATGAATATTTATCATGGTCTCAAGTAATAGTCATCCTTTCCAAGGAAGAGACCTTCTGGTTAATTGTCACATTGGTAACTTTTATTGGCTGACACTACCTAGATAAAAAACAACTTTGGCATCAGTGACCTCTGAATGCTTGGCTTACAGAGAAGTCCCTAACGGGGTTGGGACTAGGGCTACCTGAAAGAAGAAGGAAAAAGAATCCCCAGCCAATCTCAGGGTAGACTTCTAAACTTGTGGAGGGGAAAAGTAGTCCTGTTGACCAAGAGGGTATGCTCTGATGTCACCCTTAAGAATAACAAAGGACAGCCTCACATGCCTGATAGCACATGCTGGCAGAAAGAGAAGGCTGTGAGGATAAAGCTTGTGGAGTGTGGGTAATGAGTGCGAAGCAGTCAGTGAAGTCTTCCCAAAGGAAGTGAATGTGGAGCTTTGTTCAAAAAGAAGGAAGTGGGTTTTCAGAGGCTAGGACATAGTCTTTGTCTGTTTTTCCATCTAACAGATGACAAATCTCTGCAAGGAAGGAAAAGGAGCATTTCTTATCACTAATATATGCCAGGTACATAGTGACCTTGCATCAGAAGTCAGGTTTATTTGAGGTGCCTTTTCTTTCTGGGCAAGTAAAGCTGTAAACCATAATACTGAGTGCTCCTTTCATTACCTACCCTCAGGCCCAACCCTGTTCTCTTCTCCAATACCTTAGTGGTTATTAACCTTCCCAGCCACGCCCTTTCAAAAGTTTCCCAAATAGCTAGGATTAGCTAAAGTGTTTGGGACAAAGGATACTAGAGATGTCAAAGGACCTGGCCTCTTGCCTCCAGGTAAGATGGAGTCTAAGCCATCCTTAACATCATCTAGATTGGCCACTGTGGAGTATAGAAAAGCAAGGCTGCTAGAGATATCCAAGAAATGTCTGCTAAGGATGCTGCTAAAGGAACCGTGAGATGGCCACCAGAGTGAGACTCTATCTTGGCTCTACCTTCACATTCTCTGGGATTATAAACAAGATGCTTATTCTCTCTGGGCCTTAGGCTGTGTGAAAGAGTTAGATTAAAATAACCCTTAAAGTCATTTTAGCTTAAAGCTCAATGATCTATAGAATGCAAAGGAATGGAGATTAATATGGATTATAATGGTCAAAGAAGGGTTTATTCACATGTATCTGTTGAGTATCCATTGAGTGTTGTCATAAGTGACTGTATAGAGCAATGAGTAACAGACTAGTTCTCCACTGAGTTTGCAGTGTATGGAAGAGAGGGACAAGTAAACACATAGTCAAGATAAACTGTAGTATTGGGATTTTAGCTGGGATCTGAAGGTATTAGAGAGGCCATTCAAGCATCAGGTAACAGAAGCCATCCCCTCTCTCTTTTCTGTCACCACCAGAGGCCTTCTGATTCTCCCCAACCTAATCCCTGTTGCCATGGAGATCACCAATGGGACTGAGACCTGGTTTAAGAGCCTTCACGCTATACTGAAGGCTCTAAATTCCACTCTTCACAGCAATCTGCTCTGCCACCCAGGGCTTGGACCAGAGCCAGACAACCTGACTGAGGAGCAGCGAGTCCACCGACCTGGCCGTAATGACAACTCCTACATGTACATTCTCTTCGTCATGTTCCTATTTGCTGCTACTGTGGGCAGCCTCATCCTGGGATACACCCGTTCCCGCAAAGTGGACAAGCGCAGTGACCCCTATCACGTGTACATCAAGAATCGAGTGTCTATGATCTGATACTAAGGGTCCAGGGGTGGCTGAAGAGCAAGATAAATGAGAATTATCTTCTGAGGCCTCTCAGACTCAGTCATGAACAAGGGGAGCCTCTGTTTAACCTACCTGTAAGATCAACAAAGAACTGTGCTAAGGGGGTCTTCATTGGGGCTATGGCAGAAGGGCTGGAAGACCTCAGACTGATGGAAAAGGATTTTTTTCCCCAGCAAAGACAGATTTTATAGACAATGGGAACTCCACGAACAAATATATAGAAGTAGCAAAATATAATAACCAATGGCTGATCCAGTGGCTGGATTATTCAGGGGCTAAAGGAAAGAGAAGTTGTAGAAGAGGGACGTGAAATAGAAATGTGCTCCAAGGACACATTTCTTATGTGTCATCTTCAGTGACCATGACAAGCAGTGGTGATTATCCTATGTCACAGACAGGACATCTAAGGAATGTCACTTATATTTGTTCACATTTTATTTTCCAACACACTTGTGATTTTACACCCCTTGAGAAGAGCAGGACAAGTGCCATTTGGGCCAAAGCAGTGCCACAACTAAAACTCAGGAACTCTGGTCTCCTTGCCTAGTGCTTCAACAAGTCTGTGCCACACAGGAGTGATCCACAGCTCCAGTCATGGACACTACACCACCTCTAACACAGCCATGTCCATTTTGTTCAGTTCTGTGAGAAATGTTCCGATATCAAATTGAAATCAGTGTCAAGAAGATCACACACATCTCAAAAATTATCATATTGAAAGAAGCAGAGTGTACAGGTACCTGGTTCAGTTAAAAGAGAACTAATGATGTATATGACCGTGGCTGGTCACTTTTCTGTTCCCTTCCCCACTTCCACGTAATGAAATAGTTAGACCAAAAGTCCTGAAGGACTTACCGCTTCTGATGTCCTAGGCTTCACCTACATTAGGTTGCACAAATAAACTTACTGTGCCTTTATAGGTCAAAAAGAGCTGATAAGCAGTAGTTTTATATGGTTCATTCTAATACATGCAGCATGGCAGGAGAATACAAGCTCCAAATCTCAGGTTGGAACTTCCCACTGTTTTCTTTGATTTCTTTTTAAGGGATCACCATGGGGACTCCAGAAGGCCCTACTGGAACAAACATATTTGTGTATAGCAAAAAATATTTCATAGCAATTATCTCTAAGGAGAAGGATTATGGGTGATATTCCTTTCCACTTTAAAAATTTATGTAATGTTTGATTTATGTGAACCTAAGTATGCTGCTTGTATAATAAGGGGGGAGGAGGAAATGACTTCCACCTTGACAAAATAAAAAGAAATGCCTATGTCTTACTTGAATGGAGGATCACAGAGCACTTTACCCTCCTGAGCAATTAGTTATTTGACTCCCTGCATGCTCAGATCTTTCCTTGTCTCTTCTTGAGGAAGAAGGTGGAGACCTGCTTAAGAAGATGTGACATATGGTAAGACAGACTCAGATTTCTACATCAGGAAGGGACTTGAGAGACTACCCAGTCCAAATTGCAAAATAAAATATGAAAGCAAGGGTAAGTATTAATTGTCAGGTGATGGATGTTCTCATGATTTTGTGAATTTAGATTGAGTAGACAGCAGTGTCAGAGATAGGCAAAATTTGAACTGGGCTTTGAAAGATAGGACATATCTAAGACCAGGGAAGCTCGGGAGTAGAAATATGGCAAGATGGCCTTCCTGAAGAGAGCAGGTCAGCTGAGGGTTGGAGCAGGAAGCAGACCTGGATGGCTTCCCTGGGACTTCAGTGTCTCCATCAATGGAGGAAGTTCCTTTTTGCAGAGTATAATAATGAGGCTAAATTATTTTGCTTCAAGTTACAGAACCCAATGCATATTAGTAAAAGCACAAAATAGGACAAATCAAAAGGAGTATGGAGTAGTAGCAAGTTCAAAAAGGAAACTACAGTACTATGACAGCTCCAGGGATCTCCGTGCAAAGAACTGCTTATTTACCTGAATTCATAAAGTTGGAGCTCAAAATACTTCATTACACACACCCAGGGTTGGACTAAATAAAATTCTAGGATTTTAAGATGCTATAATTTAAACATTTGACTAATGACGCAGCAAGTACCGCCTCCTCCCCTTAGCTCTCTACTTCACCCCAACTCTCTTTTATCACACTACCTCTCTTAACCCATTGGAACTTTTTGTCTGTGCTAGTTCTGCCCCCTGCTGGCCAGATCTCACACATCGCCCTGAACACTGAGCAAAACTTCAATTATCTCATTCCACAAATTCTGAGCGCCTACTATGTGTCAAGCAGTCATCTAGACATACATGGTTACATAAATAAACCAAAAACATAGAAGAAATTCCTGCCCTGATACTTAAGAGAATTCACCACATGTCAAGCAGTGACCTAAACATTTCATACAGTTTTTGTAACTCCCATGCAATCTTATTAGTATGCACTCCCTGAGTCAGCGTTTTGTTCATCCAGTCTCTGCAGCACCCTCAATCTTATTCCAGCATGGTGGCACACCCAACACAGAGCTTGGATCTGAGCAGGCTCCAGAAATGAACGAGAGAGTGATTTGAGAAATGATGACAGCACATTGACACCAATAGGTTGAAGCTGGGTTCCCTAGTAGCGGAGTCTAAGACATTTACTGAGGGAGCTCACTTTCTCTCTAGGGAAACCTGTGTGAGAGAGAAGTAGCAGAGCCAAAGAGGGTGTGTATCAGGCCATGTCTGGTGGCGCATGATCTCCAGGGAGCTGCTATGCACAGATGGGACATAAACTACAGGACAGAATTACACTCCTTTGAGACAAGGGGCCAAGCCTTTTAGGCCCTTATGTCAATCAGTCATTGGTTGTGGGTCATCCTGATGGGGGCCAGAAGGACATAAGGGGGTTTCCATTAGCCAAGGGTAATTCTCTAGAGTCAGGGGTGCTGGGGGCGGGGGGCAGTGGAGGCTGTGGGCTGCAGCAGTAGAAGCAAATCACACAAGGAAGTTGTCCTGTTTGGAAATTAGCAAGAGCCTGGTCCCTCAGGAAGTTTCTGAAGCTCAACTTTAACCACTTAAATTGACCTCCCCCCGCGCACCTTTGTGGCTATCCTTGCACCCATGTTAGTGGTCATGGACTGCTGGCTGCTAGAGTGGCATGTGAGAGATGCTCACATTTTGGTTGAGGCCAAATCTCTGAAGAAGGGAGCAGTTCGGAGTTTCTGGAAGCCAACATTCCCTGCAGCTGAGGGAGGAGGCCTGTGTGGGGCCAAGTCAGCTTCCACTATAGTTATGTGCAGGGAAGACAGGAGCAGATGCAAAGTGTCATGTCTTGGGAGCTCCTAGCTTAAGAGACGAGAAGCACATACCAAGTAAAAAACAAAACAAGAAAACACCAAGTGGAACCAAACAAGAAACAGTCAAGTTAAGTAATAGGTAGACAATATGGAGAACAGATATTAAATGTGATTGTGAAAATCAGGGGGGGGAAAATTCGTGGTTGTTGCCTGGAGATTTGGTTTTGTACATGAAGAACTGGTGGGGTTTGAGTAGGAGAGCCGACATGCTATGACCCAAGGTGGGGGGCCCAGCAGGTAGATGGCTCGGCATCATCAATCAGGGACTTAGGATAATCACGACCCTCCTCAACACGCAGTTTCCAAGTTCACTCTGGTTGAAGCATTTCAGTTAGTGAGAAGAAAGAACAGGAGTCCAGGAGCAGAGCTTTAGACTTACAAAAACAAGGCAAAAGCTACAAACACACCTTCTGCTCCAATCCACTGGTGAGGGTGACCTGGCCGCAACCAGCTAGAGGGGAACCAGTACTGAGCAGTCATGTCCCAGCCAACCCTCTCCTACTATGGAGGAAGGATGGGTTTGGGGGGGACAGGTGTCTCCACACTACCCTCCTCACTTTCCCCCCAGAACTGCTCATAATCAAGAAATGTACAGCCCTGCCAAGATGGAAGAAGTGCACTACTCTGACTCCATTACTGTTTTCAGGGCAGAGGGAGTCTTGTGGGCATTACCAAGCCAGCCCCGGGGGTGTGAAGCTTGCTGACTATTTTCAGGTATCATAAGAATGGTGATGATAAAGATAAAGGCTTAGGCATATGGGAAATGGACAAAGCAAGGCTTTTAGCCAACATTGTATAAGAAAAAGAACCCTCTTTTTCACTAAGAACATGAGCTGCCTGGATGAAATCAGAGAACCCATTTGGGGCAGGAGTTATACTGACAGAGAATAAGTCCATGTGTACAAGGAGAATCAACTAGTAAACAGGGAAAAAAAGCTTAGTATTTGACGATAAACCAGTCTCCACCAGGAACTGTGCTGGGTAATTTGCAATGTTACTTTATTTCATCTCTTTAATAGTTCTTGTAATTTTTTAATCCCCATTTTATAGGTGAGGAAATAGAAGCAGAGGCAAACATTCATTTCGTTAATGCTTGGAGCTACCTAGATTTTTTTTTTTTAAGATTTATTTATGCATACAGAACTGGGGTACAGGCCAGAGGTGCAGGGCCGGCGAGAGGCTTCACCAGAGACAGAGTGGGGAACAGAACAGGCAGATCTACGAAGTACACTGCTGAGGGGAGCAGCGGGCGGGTCAGGAGAGGTC